GGGTTTTGCCATGTTGGCCAGGCTGGTCTTGAACTCCTAACCTCAGGTGATCCGCCCACCTCGGCCTCCCAGAGTGCTGAGATTACAGGCATGAGCCACCTCGCCCAACCCACCCGGTCATTAAAATATAAAGAGGCCCCTGCTGGCCTGGCCTCTTCGGACCTTACCTCCTGGCCTTGCTTGGAAAGGTGGGAGATCCTCCTCTTCTGCCCGGGGAACAGAGTGGTCAGACCCGAAAGCCCCTTCTCCTCGCTTTTCTCTTCCTTGGGGGGCTAAGACACATGTCCGTCCGTCAGCATGGGTCTGCCCTCCCCACCAACACCAACACACCCCAACCTCAAACCGCCCCCGGCAAGTGGGGAAGGGCATAGTCCAGCCCCCAGGCACAGCAGCTGAGGGATCAGGGCCACCAGTCCCTGGGCTGTGTGTGGGTGCAGTCGGTGGGGGGGGGCGGGCAGGTGTCCCACGTTCTGCAGATGCCCAAGGCTACCTCTCCTGTGCGCCCAGGGCCCCGGCTTGGAGACCCCAGGCCGCAGAGTGAAAGCACACTGGGAAAGTGAGGCCCCAGGGCGCACCAGCTGCACGGGATGAGCACTTGGGTTCAGTCTGTGTGGAGCGAGCTCCCCCTGGTGGCCAATGTGGAGACACTGGGCCAGGAGACCCAGGGGTCCAGAGCTGGCCCAGGAGCGCAAGAGCTCCGCACACTGGGGGTAGGGAGGATGGAGGGGAGGAGAGAGGGGCAGGAGGGGATGAGGAGGGGACAAGGAGAGGAGACAGAGGAGCTGGAAGAGAAGAGACAGAGATGGGGATGGGAAGGGAGGGGAGAAGAGAGGGGGAAGGGCGGAAAGGGGAGAAGAGGGGAAGGGAGAGGGGCTAGAAGGGTGTGCTGGAGGTGGGTTCCCCTGAGGTGGGTGGGTGGGCCAATATCCCCCTGCCAGTCAGTGGGAACAGATTGTGTGCACATGGCCACAGGAGCCTGGCTGGTGGCCAGGGACCAGCAACCTCTCTGGGTGGGTGAGGGGCAACAGGGCCGCCCAGGAACTC